ACTTTATTGGATCAGATTATTAAGGCCTCCAGTTTTGGGGCTATGAAGGCCTCCCTCAGCAAAGGTGACCCCCATTTCCGGAAAGGCGTGTCCGGCGGCTGGAGAGAGACGTTAACTAAAGATGAGAGCGATTTGATTGATGAGAGGGTTAGGGCCGAGTGGATGGGAACGGGATTGGAGACGCTGTGGGAACGGGAGATGAAATGGGAGTCCGATTAGAATTTTACTAAAATCTATTTTTTAATCAAGAATTTAATTTTAAATTAATTACATTAATTACATATTTATAACTAGCTATATTTATAATATATTTAAATGATAAAATTATGTTTGATTAGGTAATAGTGCATTTCAATAAAAATTAATTATAAAAAATTAACATTGATTATTTACCAAGTGAACTAAAGGTAATGGTTTAACAAAATAAGTTTATCATACATTACACAAAAAATAGACTTAGTTTTAGTTAACTTTTTTTATACAAAAAATAGATCAATATTAGAAACATTAGAAATATTCCAATACAAATCAATTTAAGTGAGATTACTTTTTAAATTAAATTTCATTGACCGAATTTGATAATTTCAAAACTTGTTTCATTTAAATAAATTAACACCTAAAAAATTATTGTAATAGATAAATTTAAAACATTCTATACTGAACTACAACGTTAGTTACAGTATAAGAAATAGTATTGCATAATTATGCTAATTTGGTAAATTTGCGATTAAATTTATTAAATACTAAGTGTTAAGTCAAAATTACCCAGTAGTTCACAAGATATACAAACGCCTAATGCTAAACTAATGCATTAATATTTTGTTAAAATTTAATCTTGATTAAATATACAGTATCTAGGCCAATAAATAAGACATGGCCGCAATGTGATAAATACGAGGGTTAGACATATTGTTTGCCGCCGTCGACCACGAAGTTGGATCCGGTCACAAACGACGCCTCATCGGACGTCAAATACAACACGGCTTTTGTCACATCCATGGGCTCACCCATCCGTCCTATCGGGTACTTCGTGGCCAACCCCTCATAATATTCGTCCACTTCTTCTTTAGTGAAGTTGTGAGTGATTTCGAAAACCTTGGACTTCACTCCACCGAGACTTTAATAGTAAGAATATTTAAAGTAGCAAGCAAAGTATTTTAGTGCGAATTAACTTAAGCGAGCGCATACTTGACAACGTTAGCTCGGATACCTTTGGGGCCCAACTCGAGCGCTACGCACTTTGTGAACATATCCAGCGCCCCCTTTGACATTGAATACAATAGTCCTCTCTATTTACAAATTATAATTAATTTTTTAAGACTATTTAATAATATAAATATTTTAATAAATGGTAAATCATTGAGGGTTCATTCAATAAGTACGTACGCACTGGGTGGGGTAGGAGGTCAGCCAGAGCATGCGTACACAATGTTAAAGTCATATGTAGGGGAGGTCAATTTTTAGACAAATTTTTGCGTAGCTACTTATTGAATGGCCCCTAAGTTACATGGAAAAATGAATGCAAAAACTTAAAATGCTAGTCCAATTGCTCGAATGGAAATATTTTGGATGATTTTTATGTGAGTACATTCTTTCCGAATGACCATGCATATAAAAAAAATAGCAAATAAAGCAAATGTTTAATATATAAATACCGGTTTAAAAGCCGAAATACTCGATATGTTAACGATATTTCCCTTAGTTTTCTCCAAATGCTCGACACATAAGTGAGTCAACCATACGACTGACCGGAGGTTTGTGTTCATAATGAGCTCATACTTATCGAGGATATCCCCGTCCCATATGCTCGACACTAAATATAGACCCGCGTTGTTCACCAAAATGTCCAGCTTTTTGAACGTCTTGATAGTGTCTGAGACTAATCGGCGACAGTCGTCATCGTTGGTGACATCGGCCACCACTTCCAGGGCTTTAGCACCGGTAGGCGATGCCTCAGCGCACTGGTTGGCCACAGCGGACACCCTATCCTTTCTGCGACCGGTGACCACCACTTGAGTCCCGAGTCGAGCGAACTCTACGGCAGTGACGGCACCGATACCACCGCTCGAGCCGGTGATCAGCACTACTTTTCCCGTGAAATCTCTGGAAGTCGTCATGATTTTAGTCTACAGTAAAAATTTCTTAAAATTTAAATATAGAGTTTATATTTAAAAGCATGAAATAATGATGAATTTTATAATTTAATCTAGCACAAAAAATATTTTCTAGAAAATTCTGTAATGTTTTCAATGTCCTATTTCGATGTATTAGGTTTCGTCAAAAGTTTTGCGAGGTAGATTTTGCAGCTTAAAAATTAAATTCTCAACAACCAATATAGATATCAAAAATATTTTTGAATCTCAACTATGGTTTTTGTTTGTATGTATTCACCCGAAGAGACTACTTGATTAGAGCACCAGTAGCTCGGCACAGGTAGCTTTTATGTACAGCAAAAACTATAAGTCCTAGAGAGACAAGCGACACATCGTTGGAAAGAGCATAAAAAATGATCGAACTCGTCTATCGGGATTTCTCTAGTAAATGCATCAATTCGGAA